GCTGTTTTCAACACGTTGGGACATGCTTTCATTGGCCCCACCGAGCTGTGACAACAATCAGATATGTATCCGAATACGTTATGTACTTAGTACCAAATGTAATACGCCAATTCGCGTGCATTGATAATCCCGTGAAGCGAGTAGTCCGTCTTCACAAGGGAGACTGACCGAAATCACGTAATCGCACCCAGGATCAGGAGATCGGATTTCCTTATGCATTGCTGTATAAGACCATCTGTTACATAGCCGAACGATATCATGTGGTCTCTTTGATATGCTCATGAAATGCTCATGAAAACATGTGGGGTGGGCAGCCACAGTGCTGAGCTAGGTGACACATTGCTTTACCAGGAGAGGGCGGGAGATAGCTGTATGGACCTTCGTGAATTTATTGGTAATGATAACATTTATTCGCAGCTGGTTGTACAAGAATGCCGTCGTTGACGTATTTTTGTTTCGTTCCACATACCGTGGCTGCTTACTGCAAGCTACGAGCAGAACAAACATTTGTTGAAAGTATTATTGTAATTGCATGGTATTCTATCTATTCCGTTGCCTGCTGCTAGGAAACCACTGCGTGATACGAGTGAAAATAATAATTGACTGAGTCGAGCGAAGAATAGTATTACTCTAGCGCTTGGTCACCACACTTCACTCCAAGGGTGATTGTGTAGCGTATAGTCATCATACGAAACATTCCTTATTGGAACTTGGTAATTTATCTTACTCTAGCGAAAAATTGCGCTAGCGTTGCCAATGGCAGCAAGCGACGGTAACTTCAGATAGGCAGTCAGCAAGTGTTTGATTATATGCTAGCTTGGCTGCGTAGCTTTGCGTATGTACGCTTTGTATTCGCAGGTGTAAATGTTGTTCTCGCTTAAATCAGGAGTGAAAATTGATCCTCCGTGCCGAATATGTATACGAGTGGCTAACGTCTGCTCGTTGGCAGGGTGTTTGGAGACGTGCCGTCGCGTCCAGGTGGTGCCGGGAGGTCGGAAGGGCGAGTGGCTAACGTCTGCTCGTTGGCAGGGTGTGTGGAGACGTGCCGTCGCGTCCCGGTGGTGCCGGGAGGATACCAGTGGCTAACGTCTGCTCGTTGGCAGGGTGTTTGGAGACGTGCCGTCGCGTCCAGGTGGTGCCGGGAGGTCGGAAGGGCACGGAGGACAAGCACCAGGGCCACACCACGCACATCATGTCCATGGCCATATCGTCAGACAACAAATACTTGGTACGAGCTCACGCCAGCCTTGGCTGTTCGGAGCGGAAAATATAGAGCTGTGTTAGATGTCGGTGGTAGTGCGCGCCCGCGTGTTCGATCCATATCGGGCAGTAACGGATGGTGTGTGATCCGGCAGAGGGAATGTCTTGGTTCAGCTGTGCGGCGACAGGTGCTGTATAGTTTAGCTGTGGGGCGACCGGTGCTGTATGGTTCAGCTGTGGGGTGACAGGTGCTGTTTGGTTCAGCTGCAGTGTGACAGGTGCTGTGTGGTTCAGCTGTGGGGTGACAGGTGCTGTTTGGTTCAGCTGCAGTGTGACAGGTGCTGTGTGGTTCAGCTGTGGTGACAGGTGCTGTGTGGTTCAGCTGTGGGGTGACAGGTGCTGTTTGGTTCAGCTGTGGTGTGACAGATGCTGTGTGGTTTAGCTGTAGTGTGACAGGTGCTGTTTGGTTCAGGTGTAGGGTGACCAGCGCTGTGTGGTCCAGCTGTGGCGTGACGGGTGCTATGTAGTTCAGCTGTGGCGTGACGGGTGCTATGTAGTTCAGCTGTGGCGTGACGTATGCCGTGTGTCGCCAGGTGAGTGGCGACATGAGCCACCTGATCCAGCTGTGGGAACCGGCCACGCTGAGCCGGCTGCACGTGTTCCGCGGCCACCGGGGCGCCGTCACCGGGCTGGCCTTCCAGCGGGGCACGCACCAGCTGTTCAGCGCCTCGGCCGACCGCATGGTCAAGGTCTGGAGCGTGCACGACCGCTCCTACATCGAGTCTCTGTGAGTTCAGACGGCAGTGCGCCGCACGCGAGAGAGGTAATGTGGTCACGGGGTTTTCGCCAACCGACCGGTAATGATTAGACAGCACTAATCGCGTTATTCCTGGGAGAACAACCCGGATAATGGAGATATAGATGGGTTGATGCATAGCAACATGTCTATCCAAACAATAGCAGAAGTGCATGTTGCCGAATATTAACCTATCTATGTCCCCGTTCTCCCAGTTTTTCTCGGAAGAATAAGGCTATTACTACTGTCTTATCTATGTGAATAATGTCATTGCGAATGCACTGAACAAGTTACGACTAGTGACGATGTGACTGGGCGTGCCGATGGCGGGGCTGCGTGCTGCATGAGCGGCGTGGCGGCGCGGACGGGCAGTCGTCCGCGCCTCTGTCGGTGCGACGGTGACAGGCTGTGGCTCGCGCCGCAGGTTCGGCCACCAGGACGGCGTCACGGCCGTGGACGCGCTGAGCAGGGAGCGCGCCGTCACCGCCGGCGGCCGCGACAACACGGTGCGCGTCTGGAAGCTGGCCGAGGAGTCGCAGCTGGTGTTCACCGGCCACCGCGACAGCATCGACTGCATCAAGCTCATCAACGAGGAGCACTTTGTGACGGGCGGTCAGGACGGGTAGGTGGAGCTGCAGCCGACGGGAGCGGCGCGTAGGTCATCGCGGCACTCCGGGGCGTTCCGGAGTGCCACGATGTGATCCACGGCGGCTCTTATGGACGCCGGGGATTCTTCGATGGGCCTGCGTGGTGTTCACTCGTGCTGCCGTTCCCGAAGACGCCAAATATGCATTTGGCGTCAGCTGTGGTGTCGTGCGTTCCGCGCGAGATGTTTTGAAGTTATATTTTCTTTTACGGGTTTTTGGATTGTCACTTGTTTTCTCTTTTGTCTTAGAATGCTCGTAGCATTCGTTTGAACTTGGGAACTGGCGTTTGTGACACATGGCCCCGCCCTGCCAGCCTGAGGTGTCCAGCCGACACTGCCCACATGACTCGGCCCGTCCGTCTGCCGCTGTCCTGTGTGGTGACCGTGGGCGCCTCTCCGCAGTATGGTCTGCCTGTGGAGCGTCGCGAAAAAGAAGCCGCTGTGCTCGGTGCCGCGAGCGCACGGCCTGGACCCGGACAGCCGGCAGCCGCGCTGGGTGTCGGCCGTCGGTGCCCTCGTCAACTCTGACCTGGTGGCGTCCGGCTCGTGGGACGGCCAGGTGCGGCTGTGGCGGTGTGCGGCCGGCTTCGGCTCGCTGGCGCCGCTCATGGCACTGCCGGCCGCCGGCTTCGTCAACGCGCTGGTGTTCAGCGCCTCCGGCGACCGGCTGCTGGTGGGCTGCGGCCAGGAGCACCGGCTCGGCCGCTGGTGGCGGCTGCGCGACGCCGCCAACCAGGTGCTGCTGCTGCCGCTGACGGCCGGCGCCGGCTCCGAGGCCGCGTGACCGGCGGCCGGGCGCTCTGCCAGCCGGCCCCGGCACCCGCTCGTGTCTGTGATGTAGTGTCCTCAGTGCCCCGGGAACATGGACTGTCGCCGGGCTGGGGCGACGGCCCAACTGGCTGGGATGTGGTCGCCGGCGGAGACGTGGTGTTGGGCGGATGTTGCGCTCAGCAACCGCGACAATACACGACTTGTGCGAAATGAGTATGATGCGGTGTGCCGGCACGCGCTGCGCTGCAGCATTGTGGGGACCGGTGGTGGTGGGCGTTCTGCATATGCACTGCAAACTGCATATTGCACAGGTGTCGTGACATGACTTGGCATTTAGTAGTTAGGTCGGTTCACAAAGGAATGTCTAAAAACGCGTGTTAAAAGCGGGTAACACCACAAAAAGTCGCATGTAGTTTAACGCATACCCGAGGGTCCTGACATTGTAATCCAAGACAACCTGCTCGTCGGAATGTAGATTATTCGGAAGGTACAAATGCCTGCTTGGATGAATTTAAGCTACCAGATGTACAAGAAATTCGCAATCTATAAACCACTGCTGTATCGCGTACAAAGATGGCAAAAATGCTGCATGCTAGGCCAGGAAACATCCACCAAAATTCCTCGTGCTCTTGTTTTCTAAAAGGACACCCATGGCAACCAGACAAGAACCGGGAGAATGAGGCATATCCATGGTATATCCAAGATATTTCCGAAGAGTATGACTTAGCAAAGTATGACGCGGGCATTGTTCGGATCATAGTCTGCGATGGAAGTTCACCGCGCCCAACTCGCGTAAAAAGAACGCCCGCGTGAACATAGCAGTAAGTGCAGACGTCAGATTTCGGCCGAGGGCGCCGTAACAGTGTTTCAAGACTAATGAAGCACAAACAACTCAAAACGTCGCAACTGGAAGAGAAAAAGACAACATTGACTTTTTAAATCCTTACGCAACAAAATAGTCCTCTCAACGGCAGCAGCGACCTTAATATATACATAGAACGGCTTGTTCATGAAAGCAGTAGCACCAAGGCACTACTTGGATTTTCGTCGCCTGCCTCTTGTGCGTCAATCCCGGTAGCGCTTTCCCTACAAATCTGTTTTTTTTCCGGTTGAAGGTTGGGGAAAACTTTACTCACGGTGCGGTAAATGTGGTATCACTTGTCGACCAGAATCGCTGCCATTCGTGCGCGCGAGAATTCATCCGCGCGTAATTTGGGTTTGTGCCTTGGGGCTTGTGTCTGAGTGGCGCCTTCGAGGCGATTATTCAGTGGCGATAATTCTTAAGCCGGCATATTTCACCCATGTGCCCAAAGACTCAAAGTGTGACCAGGTGCAGGCATTGGTAGGTAAGGATGGAAACTTCGACTGTTACGCATATCGAGTCTATATCTTTTTGAGTGTGCACGCACCAGCAACCAACAGCTGGAATTAGGCGTTATGATTGTGCTGTAATGTAACCATGCAAGTCTAGCATAGCTTGGGCCGGTTTGTAGAATTGGGCTTAGGATGACATTGTTTTTACTTGATTTGCTGCCTGCCAACCACGTTGCATTCAATATTATTAACTTATTAACCAGACAGTTATAACCCAGCCTCAGTTTTGAAAATCCATGTGCTGCTCCTGACACCTCCCCATCATTGCATGCAGAAATGGTGGCACACATGCGCTATGATAAGGTAAAGCTAGATTTGGCTTAGTGCTTGGTTGATGTTGCTTGAAAAATGTTTTTTGTAATATTTTTGCCTGAAAGTATCATTACAATTTCAAAATTTCTTGAAAGATTGTCTTTATGGGCTGAAACTGGCAGCAACCATGCACTACCATTGTGCCTGGAGTGGCAGTATTTACTGTGGGGAAAATGATGATATAATCCTGTTAGTTTCTTATTACTTTTGATGTTGTATTGTTTATACTTATTTTCTTTTTTATGTAGGTCTGTTTTCAATAGCTGCAGAAAATACAATTATGTTAGGCATTGAGCTGTGTATATAAACATTGATGTTCCTACCACATTCAGTTGGGTGATATGAGCTATTTGTGGAATAAAGTAAGTGGCAAAGTAGTTGTATTGGCATGTTTACCATGCCAGTCTGCAGCTTTCCACATCACTGCAATCTTTTGCAAATATTGTGATGCAGGTCACTATGTTCACCTTTGAGCCTAAAACATTTGCATTGCTTAGCAGTTACAATGAAGTCACATCATATTTGAAAGCAATACATACATCTTGGATGATTAGGCTACATCAAATTGGGCTAGGAAGGCTTACAAAACAAGTTAAAACAGGTTGAAAACATGGATCAGTTCTGCAGTACATTGTAATAGTGGCAGACTGAAGGATGGTAACCTGCCTAGCAATAATGCTGGCTTCATGTGTTCTTCAAGTTGCATGGCATGTGGTTCTATATCACGGCATATTACACAATTGCATGGAAAACAATTGATTAGCATTGTCATGTGTATAGTAGAAGCACACAGTGTGGAAGGCAAATATTATTATAATGTAGTAACTTCAACAGTTTTTGAGGAAACCATATTTGTTTGTAAAAATACATTGTAAGCATGGCAAGCAGCAGCCATCATTGTTATTTCACAAAGTGTTAATCAAATGTGACAGGAAGCTTATTTGCTGCATAAAGTCTGCACAATTTGCTGTAGACCTTCCAGACCTCATTGAACTATAAAAAGCTTATTTTACCTTTCCAACTTGCTAAGTTTTGTAGCATTTTGCCCAAACCTATGATAGATGCAAGAACAACCCAGACTTAGTTTAAATGCTACTTGTCAGCAAATATTAGTTGGTCACATTCTGACACTGCTGTTCCAATCATATTGTCTATGTTATTCTATATTCCTTTTGGGGCTCTAAATCCCTGGTGGTCAGGTTTTGCAAACATTTCACCTTGAATACAGTGTGCTTGAATGACCTCTATATGAAGTTATACTTGCATTGTACCATGGCCACACTTGACACTTCCAGTCATTAGCAGTGCAGCCATTCACACATGTTAGGGAATCATGGGAGGGATGGCTGAATATGCAATGTACAAGATTCCTGTGTAGGCCTTACAGCCACAAGCAAGTCAACCTATTAGGTATGCTAGTTTTTCCACTCATCACCTGCTCTAATTCCTTTCTTCATGTTTATGTATGAGGACTGCACATTTCTTAGCTGAACTATGTATGCTCGCTTGTGTTGAGAGAGAGTCTCGTCCATTTCAGAGATGATCTCCCCGGACGAGATGGAGTTTCTGGCGGAGGGCGGCACGCTCAATATCATCCCGAACTTCCAGCAGGACCGACTGTACCTGATCGGCGGGGACGTGGGCCCTTTCCGGCCGGCGCTGCCCATCACCGTGCCCGTCTGGCTGGCCGTCAACCTGCGACAGCGCAGCAAGTGTCGCATCGTGCCGCCCGACTGGATGGACGTGGCTCGCCTGCAGGTGGGCATGCTCCGACCCGACCCGACCCGACCCGACCCGACTCGACTCGACTCGACTCGACTCGACTCGACTCGACCTGACCTGACCTGACCTGACCTGACTGACCTGACTTGACTTGACCTGAACCCGTCTTCGTCCTCGTCCTCGTCCTCGTCCTCGTCCTCGTCCTCGTCCTCGTCCTCGTCCCGTCCCCGTCCCCGTCCCCGTCCCCGTCCCCGTCCCCGTCCCCGTCCCCGTCCCCGTCCCCGTCCCCGTCCCCGTCCCCGTCCCCGTCCCCGTCCCCGTCCCCGCGCCGATTCACCGAGCACGGGGTGACGCCAGTGGTGCGTGTTCCTCCGGTAGAGTGGTGATGTTGGCAGCACAACCTGGCGCCTGTGACGGCATTCCTTTCTTACGTCAGTTACGTTCATGACGTAGGTAGGCGTAACGTCGGCGGTCAGTGCCTCTCCATTATGGCGGTCAGGTCAACTACACAGCGTCATGGCCCTCTGGTTATGACCCTGGATCTCCTAGCCAGGCTCGGCCTCAGTCCTTATGTTTGAGCTGCAGTGCGTGTCGCAGTGCTGCTCTGGCACCCATGCTGATGGCCCATTTTACGATGGAATGAAGTTTTCACTCATGTGTTGGTTGGTGTAGCCCTCCAGTGTTGACTGATCCCGTCACCACTGGCCGGTTCTCAGTCGTGACACCAGTCCCCTGGTGGTGACGCTCGTTATCCCTCCAGTGGTGACTGATTCCGTCACCACTGGCCGGTTCTCAGTCGCGACACCACTCTCTTAGTGGTGACGCTCGTTGTCCCTCCAGTGGTGACTGATACCGTCACCACTGGCCGGTTCTCAGTCGCGACACCACTCTCTTAGTGGTGACGCTCGTTGTCCCTCCAGTGGTGACGGATTCCGTGACCGGTGGCTCAGTTAGCTAGAGCGCCTGCCTCCCGATTCACCCACCCGTGGCGGAGTGGGTTCGAGTCGCTTTAGATGCTCGCTATTTGTCCTTGACAGATATGGCCTGCGGCCGGTGGCAGTGGTCGCGCTAAAGGTCAGTTGACGTCAGAGGGCAGGACGGACCGTGCCGAGCATTGCGGCACGTTAAGCTTTCGCCACTAAATTCTGCCGTTGCCTGGAATTGCGCGATCGGATGGTAGGGGTCAGGGCTCACACAACAAGCACTGCTTAGCGTGAGCACTGATCCCAGAAATCCATCCATTCCAAAGGTTCGGATCAAATTTCAAAAAAAAATCCGTCACCACTGACCAGTCCTCAGTCGTGACACCGGTCTCCTGGTGGCGACGCTTGTCATCCCTCCAGTGGTGACGTTCGTTACCCCTGCGGCAACCTTCGTCGTGCTGCCGACAGGAGAAAAAGGAGGAGGAGAAGAACTCCGCGCATTTCACGCCCATGCCCAGCGATCACTACATGGAGGTAACGCAGCTGATGATTGACGTGGCGCCTGGAGACCTGCCGCGGGCCGATGAGATACGCACCATCATCAAGGTATGCCCCGCCGCCGACACTGTAGTCAGAGACTCGGAACGCGCGCGACGCTGACCTGCATTGGGACGGAATTATGCTAAGATCATGGGGTGAGGGGGGGAGGGCTTGTCGCCGCGGCGCGCGCCACATGCAGAGCGCTGGCCCGGGCTGTACCGCCGCTCACATGCGGATTGAAGGCAGGTAGCCCCTCACCCATCGCGGTATGACTCGGCCCCGAACGGGTGGGTTCCCAGGGAATCTCGCGCGTCGACCTCGCGCCCCGATGTGCGCGACCCTCAACGTTGCTGGTGGCGCTAGCGCGTGTGTCTGAGCCCCACCTAAACAGCGTGGTTTGGCGCGTGGAACATGCGCTCCCCGGGTCACTCTCGACGTGAGGTGATGCGAATGACCTGAGTTGCAGGTTTTATCCGGTTTGCTTTTGGCTCCGACACATGGAGAGCAATGCATCCCTGCGGTTCACGTAGCGCTGCCTTTCGATTCCCTGAGCTTTCAACACGACAGCTAAGGGCTTTTTCTCTGCGTTTAGTGCCGCACGGTCTTTTATGCGATCTCATGGCTCGCCTTCTCGCGCACCATCGGGTGGAGACCATCGCTAAGGATGGCCTGTTGCGTGATTACTTTCCCGATGTCCTGGTGGTCCGAACTAGGTTTGTTAATGACTTTTGCCATAGCCTTTTAGCCAACAGCACTGAGTATTTCAGCTTGTCGTTCGATGTGATGGCATGGCCGCTTGTCGTCGGGGTCCTCCCCCTCCCTTTGGCAGGGAAGTGCGGAGCACTCATTAGGGCTCAAACCCAGTTGGTTGTATCTTGAAGGTGCTGTGCCTGTCACGGGTACACGGGTACGGTAAGCCAGGTAATGTGGTGAGCGCTGAACGTCGCCATGCTATCACGTGCTGAGGCAGCTGATGATAATGTGTAGCGAGGGTTATTCCTCAATAGGTCTGCATATGCTGCTGGTTATTTTCATGCCTTGTATCGGGCCAGCTGCACAAAGCTTTGATCAAAAAATGCAGTTTGGCTTGCCTGCCAGAAACATTTAGATGGCCGTATATCTAGCAAGTTGATTGGCCATCGTGGCTCTAAGTGGGAAGGCGCGCTCTGTGACCATGACTTGAGCAGTGGATGGCTGCGAGACGCACCTGCCCGGCTGCTGTCCCCAGGACATCTGGGACATCCGTGTGGCCAAGCTGCGCTCCTCGGTGGACGCCTTTCTCAAGTCCAACTCGTCGTACGCCAAGCTGGACCACCTGACGCTGCTGGAGCTGAACACCGTGCGCCCGTTCCTGAACCACTCGCTGGACCAGCTGTACCGGGTCAAGAAGGTCAGTCGGTCGGCGCCTGGGTCGCAGACGCGTGGCTTGTTCCATGGCGACGCCCCGCTTCCGCAGCTGTCACGGCCACTGAGCGCTGCCGCGCAGCAGCTGCAGCGGCTCACTTCGAGGGGCATTTACAGCGCTCAGAGGGTCTCTGTCGACAACGTCGAATCCCATTTAGCCGAACTCATCTGCTGCTGTATGCTGAAACTTGACTGCAGCTAGGGTGGCCAGGTGCTCTTGGTTTCCGACGAACACCGTGCTGCTGGACTTGGCGTCACTTATCAAGGTTGTGTTCATCGCTGGCACCTCATGCCATCGGTTTCCATTCCCTGTGTGCGCTATAGTTGTGTTTACGTTTAACGAAATCTAACTTCAGGTGGCTAAAGCCTCATTTCAGTATGCCATTACAGGTTTTTCGACCGGCGACGGCGGCGACGATTCAGTATTAGCTCCTTTTCCGATCCAACCTCTTACGTCCCTAGTAGGGAGCGCAATGAGGCTTTGTGTACGGTCTTGGAGATGCCACCACAGATGCCATGCGTGATAGATGTGCGATCTGGACCTGATGGTTGCCAATCTCATTAGCATGTACCCACGGTATTGTGAGACGACTGCATGAAGAAAGGGTAGGTATGTCGTCTTCTAATATGTATGTAAACATCTCCTAAGACACACCGCTACTGTTACAAGGTCATCGCTCACACTGCGACACATCTTCGCCAGGACACGTACCGGAGTTTGACGCAAGACAACAGTCGGCTGGCGTCGTGACGGCCGTGGTCTGGCCGTGGACAGAGGCCCTGCCGCCGCCGTCGTGGCCGCTCTGGCTTTGGATCGTCAGTCGCCATCTCGGTGAGCCGGTCGTGACCGGCCTGGTCTGGCCGCTGACAGAAACCGAACCGCTGCTGCGGGCGCGGAGCAGGACCGCCGTGAGAGCCGCTGTTAGCTCGGGGTAGGACGGCCGTGAGAGCTGCGGTTAGCTCGGGGCAGGACCGCCGTGGGAGCCGCTGCGGTTAGCACGGGGCAGGACCGCCGTGAGATCTGCTGTTAGCTCGGAACAGGACCGCCATGAGAGCCGCTGCAGACAGGTGCGGAAGTCCGGACGGCGAGCGGCGTCGACCGCAGGGCCGTGGCCAACTCTGGTGGCGGCTCCATCCGTTGCCGTGCAGCACACCACGCCCACGAATGACAGGCCAGACTACGGACGCCAGCGTCTGTGCGCGTTCGAGGCTGGATGGACGTCGCTCGCTACCATCGCGGCGTGGTGCGGCCAGCTGACGCCAGTGACATGGGCGGCCTTTCTATCAGACTGTGCCTGTGAGGCTTGTCTTGCGATATCGAGCCTGATAGGCCGCTATACGTGAGGCTGACCTTTGTACGGCGCAGTGCGCGCCAACTGCGGTATCAATTGCGAGTTGCGTGGGTCAGAACCTCTGCAAGCATTTTGAATGGTTTTGCACCTTTGTTTTATAAAAAGCAAGGCTGGTCAAGCATCGCCTGGCGTCCAAAACGTTAGTTTTGAGGCAGTCAGTTACAGTGTACTAACTCGCTGCGACTGACTAGGGGCATGATTCGTAGAAAAGGTGCCACGCGGTTTGTGTTCACGAAAAAACCCACGAGATAAATGGTCGCACCTTGTTACAATTGCCGTGCCTGGTGGCCTCTACGTATGACTTGTTTTTTAGTGGCTCCGTTGCGTCGTTTTGTATTTCTGGGTCTGATTAATGCAACTTGGGCGACTGGTCATAGCTGTGTGGTTATATTTTACCTGTCACGTGATACGAAACGCTAGTTTTGCAAACAACCGACGATAGTGAGGAAAGCCCCTGAACCTCTCCGATCTATGGAATGGACCCTGAATCCCTCTTGTGGTGCCGGACTCGTTGGGCCGGGTAGCCGGACGACTGCCGAGCACAGAGCACAGCCCCGAGTTGGTGCGGTGGGCGGGTTACTGCCGCGCTCGCCGCTACAGCTCAGCGTGTGATCTCAGCTCACGCCCGCCGCTATAGCATAGCGTGTGAGCCCAGCTCACGCCCGCCGCTACAGCTCTACATGTGAGCTCAGCTCGCGCCCGCCGCTGCAGCATAGCGTGTAAGCTCAGCACGCGCCCGCCGTTGCAGCTCAGCGTGTGAGCTCAGCATGCGCCCGCCGCTACAGCACAGCGTGTGAGCTCAGCACGCGCTCGCCGCTACAGCAGTGTGCGAGCTAAGCTCGAGCGCGCCCGCGGCGCGCGGAGCTCAGTGGTTGCCGTGCGTCGTGAGACGACCGACACTCGGCCGCGGTGTGAAGCCGGCCGCCATTTCGGCCGCCAGGAGATGCGGCGGCCGCGCCGCGTTCAGGTAGTAGGCCCAGTAGCAGATGTTGAACAGCACGAAGGCGGCTGGGTACACGATCAGCGACGTCTTCTCGAAGACAACGGCCACGTGACCCCAGCGCTTGTCGCGCTCGTCCCCTTGGTCGCGCCCGAGCGGCGTGGAGGAGGACGAGGAAGCGGCGGCGGCGGCGGCGGCGGCGGCCATGTCTTCGGTCTGCGAGTTAACGGAGAAGCTGACCGTTGCCCGGCGGCGCCCGGTGGGCTGGGTGGTGCGTAGAATCGGCCGGTGCTCCGGCAGGTAGGCCCGACTTGGTGCGTCGAAATAGTCGGACGGCGCGGCTTCGGGCTCGTCGTCGGGCGCGCCGAACAGGGTCGTCGAACACCTGGCGGTTCTCGACCAGCGCCACCGACACGGGCGCCAGGAAGCCGAGCGCCTCGTGCTTGTATGCCTGCGAATCGATAAAGTGCAACCGGATATCGACCAGGCAGTGGACGACGGCGACGAATACAAATGAGTAGCACACGACCATCCATATGTCAATGGCCTTGATGTAGGAACGACGACGGCGAGTGCATCTCGACCATGTTGAAGAGCGCAGCCAGCGTCAGCATAGTGGTGATGGTCATGATGATGCGGCCTTGCGCATACGCCGGCGGAATGAGGAACGTCAACCACGAGATGATGACGACAGCACCGTAGGTAAGTAGACTTGCAGCACATAGAATTGCAGCTTGCGAGAAAAGATGAAAACCACGCCGGCGCGCGAGTAGTTCCCTGTATTATATTGCATGGTGGTTGCGTTAAGCATCCGTATGCTGAAAGTGAATTGATCGAGTTTGTACTTTTCCTGTAAAACAATGGGCTCATCCGGATCCCAAAGCACTTTTGATGAGTGTCCTCAAGACGCCAGCTTTCCATGTACATGGGGCAGTACTGAATGTCCATTGGGAAGTTGTCAAAGTTCATCATGCACGATATGGCGAAGATGCCAAACGTCGTGAACTTAACCTCTCCGACATTACTCATGCGAAAGGATGCTGCTCTCATCAGGATTTCTGGTTCATATACGCTTTCGATCCGCGTGATGTAAACGTCGGGAATCCACAACATATCCTTCGCTCGCGATGGCCGATAGCTGGCCGAGTCATTGTTCACGCGTTGAACGTCAGGACAATCATCGCGATATTCTGGAGGTGCCTGCACTCTAGTGTCTTTCCAGAACTCACTAAACGTCATACTTAGGCTTATTGTTTCAGTAACTTCATCAACACCCGTTATCTGCATAACTTCCAAAGATATTTTAATCGGCAGTGAACAGAACTTTTTCTGTTCTTTCTTCGTTGCCGTGGAACACTGAATACCATGCTTGCGCTTCACGGCAGCAAGGTCTATGGTGGTTCCGTGAGCCGGTTGTAATTGTGGCAAACTGGGAGCATGCCGAGCACATCTCAGGTGGTTGAAACTGGACGAATTCCCAGGATTGTTTGGTTGCTTTGTTGAACCCGTTGCATTTAAAAGCATTGATCCACTGGAAGCTGTTTCTGTGGTTGTTAACAGTGTGCCGTCACCAATCTTCAGTAGTAATGCGCACGCAAAAGCAACAGACAGCATACATTTTTTCGATCTTCCAGCTAGTTTAAAATGCATTGTGTTGTCTTGCCTGGTGTCTTGAACGTCGCGCAAGTTTCAAGTCGTCCATCACGATATTTCATACGGTCCTAGCAGCCTCATGACATCAGGTAACGAAAACGCCGCAATCGAATAAATCGGTGAGCTTTGAATGCCGTGCCGAAAACCCTTTGCTTAACAAAGTGAAGCCCATTATAGCAAATGAGCAGTTCACGTCCGGAAGTTGTTGTCAAGTTGGCGGCCGTTGAGCGAAAAAAAGATTGGTCAAGCACGTGACATTCAGAAGGCATTCATCGGCTTCCGGCCGGATTCCGGATTTCCCGAAGCATTCATGGTAAACCAGAGGTATCGCGCGCCAGCATCTGCCAGTCTCGCTTACGTGTAATTGATTGGCCCGTGCTTTAAATATAAACGTCAGAATTCAGGCGTCATGATGCCGTTACGGGGCAAATTTTGTCGAGTCATCTTTTGAGTCTGCCGAATTTCGAGCCATACCTGCATGGCAAACAGCGAGCGCCTAAAGCGAATCGAACTCACCCATCCACGCCACGGGTGGGTGAATCAGAAAGCAAGCACTTTGACCAACTGAGCTATCGGGCATCCACTCATTGCGTGGATTTCCACCTAGAGCTATCAGATGACACATAAACGTCGGCGCCGTAACTGTGGTAGGACTAATGAATGAACTGGCGTGTGTTCAAAAGATTTGGTTACTGCTTCTGGGTGCGTGAAGTGTTCCGTAAATTTCATTCTTTCGGTGCTAGTAATAGCAAATTCTGCTAACTTGACAAGGAACAATGACTATAAACCATGTTTTGAACATGTGGCCACTTTCGGGTGGTAAAAAACCAATGCTTCAACCTGATCCAACTCGTTAATAAAATAGTTCACGCTGTAACGTAGCCCAAGCCCTAAGAATTCCGTGACCTATTCTTAGCTGCCAGAATTTGGCTGCTCTCGGATGGTAAGAGAACTAATGCTTCAACCTCACCCAACTCGTTAAAAAAGATAGTTCGCGCTGTGGCGGTAGCTCAAGTGCTAAGAATTCGGTGACCTGTTCTTAGCTGCCAGGATCAATGCACTTGAGTCGACCGAGAGCGACGTTTCAAACCCATCCATCAAAGCATTTTCCCAGATCGGATCTGGACCTTTCGAACGGATGGATTTCTGGGATCAGAACTCACGCCGAACGGTGCTTGTTGTATGAGCTCTGACTCTACCATCCGATCGTGCAATATGGCGGATTTTGTTGGCGAAAGTTAAACGTCTGGCAATGTTCAACACAGTCCCGTCCTGCGCTCTGACATCACTTGACCTCTAGGGCGAACCGCCGCCACGGGCCGCAGGCCAAATCTTTCGAAATGAGATAGCGAGTGCCTATAGAGTGATTCGATCTCACCCAGCCACGGGTGGGTGAATCAGAAGGCAGGCGCTTTTAACCAAGTGAGCTATCAGACATTTATTGAGGACGCGAACTTCCACCGAGGGCTATGGGTGGCCTTCTGGCCGGCCGTTTGATGGCTCTCACACAGGCGTTTTATTGAAACGCCGGAGTCCGTTCTTCCATCACAAGCTAATGCTAGCGGGGTGTCGAATTCGTGCCTCTATATTCGGCGCCTGGCAAGGAACCGGCGAGTGTGAGCCGTGCTAGTCACCACTCGCCGGTCGTCCTGGCAAGGAACCGGCGAGTATGAAGCCGTGCTACTCACACTCGGCCGGGTCGTCCTGGCAAGGAACCGGCGAGTGTTAACCATGCTACTCACACTCGCCGGCCGTCCTGGCAAGGAACCGGTGAGTATGAGCCGTGCTACTCACACTCGCCGGCCGTCCTGGCAAGGAACCGGCGAGTGTGAGCCGTGCTACTCACACTCGCCGGCCGTCCTGGCAAGGAAACGGTGAGTATGAGCCGTGCTACTCACACTCGCCGGCCGTCCTGGCAAGGAACCGGCGAGTGTGAGCTGTGCTACTCACACTCGCCGGCAGTCGTGGCAAGGAACCGGCGAGTGTGAGCCATGCTACTCACACTCGCCGGCCGTCCTGGCAAGGAACCGGAGAGTGTGAGCCGTACTACTCACACTCGGCGGCAGTCGTGGCAAGGAACCAGCGAGTGTGAGCCGTACTACTCACACTCGGCGGCAGTCGTGGCAAGGAACCAGCGAGTGTGAGCCGTACTACTCACACTCGCTGGCCGCCCTGACAAGGAACTTTGTCATGAAGAAGGAACGTGAAACGGACGTAGTACATAAAATCGTTGTAGACTGGAGCTGCTGTCAGCTTATTTTAGCGACAAAATCTCAGTTTTTACGTCAGCAAGTGGCCTTTTGGTCGGCTTTTTTATTTGACCCTCACAAGGCTTTTTGTTGAAAACCCTTGGTGCACTCTGTCATTTTAGCACATTTTGGCGGCGTGTTTGCACTTGCACAACTGTTTTAATCGACCAGCGAAAGCAAAACTTGCGGGTTTTGATACTACCAGTGGCATGGTTGTCAAACGGCCCCCCCCATACATGTGCAGAAGGTTTGTGGTGTCCCCTTTGTAAGCCATTCAATATATGCCTCATGGGATATCTTTTTAAATGGTGACTATACGCTCCGCCTTGTCTGAAAACAAAAACACGTTTCGCTCACTCATCGGTCGACTGGCTTATTTTTATTCCTGTTCCATTCTCCTACACGCAAACTTGGAGTATTTTGCGACATTACCGCACGCAAAATTAACGCGCACTCGGGCGGGAAGGTAAATTTGACTCCCCCCCCCAACGGTTTTTCCAGAATGTTTTCCCAACAGCGCGGTGAAGCGGCGCCAAAGTATGCATAGCTGCAGACAATGGGTTAGCGGATCGTTTGGCACCAACAATTTAAATGTACCTTGTAAGATACAGCAGGTCAAAGTGAAGCGAAGACAAATTCTAGGAAATGGTTCAATTTGACACAACAACTGAGCGTTAGACGAAGCCATACGCCTCTGAGATAGTTTCTTAGGCGAAAAACCCTTGGATTAAAAAATTAAACTGACCTAGGGTCAAGTATGAGGGTCGGACCAAGGTCAAAACCAGCCTGTGTTTGAACTCTAGAGTTTGCTGCATGAGGCAATTTTTGGCACTCAATCGAAATCTAGCAATAGCAGCAACCGCGTCATACATCTTTCATGGACCTGTTAAAGGTCTGAGTATGTCACTGACCTAAAATGGCCCAGGTCCACATTTGGTTGTGAAAAACATGCTGCCTAGCGTAATCCCTGACGTTTATCCAAATGGAAAAATCGAAGGAGTCTTGTATCATTTTGGTCCTCATGATCTTCGAAGGGTTAAACAATGTTACTGACCTTAAATGAGCACCAGGACCCTTTGCTTAGAGAAAGCACTGAAGTTCACGGTGGTGGCATGACAAGGTTTGGGACACTTTGAGCACCAATCTGGATTTGAAGCTTTTTGACAATATTTGACTCGAGGGTCATGACTTAAGAACCTTAGATTTTGACACAAGTGATTTAATGTACAAACACACCCTGTAAATTTGGTGTATCTAACTCCCTTAGCGCCTGAGACCCCAGTGGTTCAAATTAACCCCCCGTCCAAGCGCAGGGTATTCAGCCTATTTTAAGTCAAGCCTGAGTGAGCCTGTGTGGGTACCGCTTTGGAACGCCCATTTCGGTATGGTTGGTAGAATTTCATTGGCCACCACATAAGCTTATCTATCCTTTGGATCCACAGAAGGTCTTATCCAGGGACAGA